TATCCATTTTCCTGCACTAATCAAGACCTTTTATACCATCTAAGCTGATGGATTATTGTTCTACAGCCTGTTGGCTTAGTTTCATGAATCCATCCAGACTGCACAAAGCTTTTTGCTGTTATGCAAGCCTGGACAGAGCAACGCGGCAAATCTGCTCATGCAAAGCATGGGTGAGGCAATGCTGAGCTGTATGCCAGGAGGCGGGAGGGATGAGAGGGAATGGTGAAAGCCCCCTAAAGGTCATTCAGGAGGTGAAATACACAAATGTGTTTCAGGTACAAGCTACAGAAGTAGAATGGTTAAGAACCCTGCACCGCCCCTGCCAGTACTTGTGCCCAGCTGTTGTGAACAGGGAAAGCTGCAGTTAGTAAACTGTTCACCTAAGAATAGTAGCCTCCCACTGACTTCCTGATTTCCACACTGGTCTTTCCTCTCACACCAGATGTTCTCAATTGTCCCCTGGCAGTGTCTGACTGTCCTAACTGGGTGTGGGGGTGTATGTGGGTAGGCCAGGGATGCTGCTAAACATCCTAAAATGTACAGGACAGCCTCAAACAAAGACTTCTCCAGTTCCAGATTCACCAGTAGCACCAAGATTGAGACACACGGCACTAGACTGTAAAGTCTCTTGAGAACTTTTTTTTTTTTTTCCTTCCTTTTTGTCTTTTTTACTGACCGGTAACGGGATCGCAACCCTCGGTGTCACGCCCGTACCGGGGACCGGCAACGGGATCGCAACCCTTGGTGTTGCGCCCGCACCGCGCTCAGCCAGTGAGCGGGAACCGGTCTCCACATGGGATCCGAACCCTCGGCGGGAGCGCCGCCACACTCCCAAGCGGCGCACTATCCAGTGCACCACCGGGCTGGCCCTCTTGAGAACTTTTTAAAAATCCAAGTGCTCGATAGTGTGTGGTACATAGTAGGCTCAGGGAAATTACTTTGGATTGAACAGCACGATGAAGGTTTTGTCCCTATGTTTCAGTGTGGCTGGCAGTGAAAATGTACAGTTAAGATGGTGGACTTTCAGGGCCAAGAGAAAGGGAAGGAGGGAGAGAGAGGGAGGGAGTGATGTTGGGAGAGGGAGGGAGGGAGAGAGGGAGAGAGAGAGAGGGGCGGGGGGGAGAGACAAAGCCTGGACTCAAATACAGTCACTGTGCGACTATGGCATGTTACTTAACTTCTGTAAATCTCAAGGTCCTCATCTATTAAAAGTAGGTTAATAGTACCTAGCAGATAGGTTTGTTAAAAGGATTAAATTAGACGGCATATGTAAAATGTCTAGTATAGTAGATGGAAAATAGTGGACAATAAATGTTCCTATTATTATTATTAGTTATGACCCAAGGCCTCTAGGAGAGCAGACTGGTTCTATTATAGTCCCAGAGGGGAAAGTTCCTCATACAGGAAATCCAGACTAAACAAACACCCCAGTCATGCTGCAGAACACATTGGTGCTCAGGCTCTCTTGGACAATCTCCTCAGGAGCCCGTGATCCTCTTGCTCCTGAGGCTGCACCAGCCGTCAGCACTGGTGCCACCCTCGTCCAGAGTTACAACCTCCAGATTTGGAGGAAACCAGCCAGCTCTAAGAGAGCTGCTTTTACTTCAGAGCATGTGCCCTAATCCCAAGGGTAGATGCTAAATGAAAGCCAAAGCCAAGGCTGGGGACAGAGCAAACCATTGTGGAGTCGACCCAAGTGAGAAACTGACCTTTTATTCTGTCTAACCCGTGCTGTGTCTATATGATAGCTTCTGGTAGCTTTTTAAGTCTTCTACAGGTTTATCTGGAGACTTTAGTGTGTGTGAGGGAGAGAGAGAGAAAGATAGAAATAGATTTATTATATTCTATAAAAGAAATGAATGAAATCATCTAGTATGAATGGAATGGCTACACAGGGCATCCAAATACCATAGAACCACTCCCTGACATTGATTTAGAGTATTTAAATCGCTCTGCTTGCACAGATGGAGGGAACTAATCCATCTTATTTTCTCAAGGTCACAGGGAATAATAGTGATGACAGTGTTGGAACTCTGATTGCCAAATCCCAAACATGTCTCTCACCCAAAGGCCATGCTGCCTTCATCTTAATAAAGAGAATAAAATACACTCCAGTCCTGTGCGAACAGCTTCTTTAGAGTACATGTTTTGAATCAAGCAAAGATAAGCTTTTTGTGGCAGGCATTCCAGGACAGGATACAAGAGCATCTACTCTAGAGACTCATGAGGTGGATTCAAATGTCCGTTCTGGGGGCGCCAGGGGACTGTTTCCACATCCCTCAGAATGGGAATAACAATCATACTGTACCCTACTCAGAAGGTTGTTGTGAGGGCTGAACACGTGACTACCTGTCAAGGACCTGGTACGTAGTAAGTGCTTCATAAATGTCACCTATTCATGGTGGAGGTGATGGTATGATGATGCAACCTACTCAGGAACAACAAAGGAGGGGTAGAAGATTCACCCCATTTTTTGGTTCCATCAATATATCTTACATTTTCTGAATAGGGCTTTACCTTCACTGCATTTTTGTGTGAAGCTTATAAATGGGCCACATTGCTCTGTCCTGACTTGCATAACAGCAAAAACTTTAGGGCAGTGTTGGAACTACATTCTTTTTTTTTTTTTCCTTTTTGTCTTTTTTCGTGACCGGCAACGGGATTGCAACCCTCAGTGTCACGCCTGTACCACGACTGGCAACGGGATCGCAACCCTCGGTGTCGTGCCCGCACTGCGCTCAACCAGTGAGCGGACCGGTCTCTATATGGGATCCGAACCCTCGGCGGGAGCGCCGCCGCACCCCCAAGCACTGCACTCTACCGAGTGCGCCACCGGGCAGGCCCAGGAACTACATTCTAACATAGAAGAGGTTCACCTTAACACTTGCCAGCAGGAACAGAACTATTTTGCTATTACACTTGCTAAGAATTTTTCAAGGTGACTTTTTTCATCCTCAACAATCAGGAAGGTGTAAAAAAGTACAGTCTCTAAAGATTTGAGCCCATGCTTCCTCAGGTGAGGAAAAGAGACAAAGATAAAGTTACACACGTGAAACATGAATCTAAGCAGATATTACTGATGTCACGGAAACACTCTCCCTGAGCGCGTGGGTCAATGGCCCTTGTTTGAGGAGGGCGTCCTCCCCCTCTGTCCCCTCCCCTCCGGCCTTCCTCTCTCATTACTGAGCACATATTCTTTGCCAGGCACCAGGTACACAGTGATGAAAAATGACCAGTAATGAATGACTCAGAGGGACTTTTTTTAAGCATTAAGCAAATTTTAAAAAATAAACTGGAATAGTTCCATGTGGAAAAGAGCTTAAAATTAAACAGTATCAGCAAAAATCCAGCCAACCAAACAAAATTTTTAAGAGGAAGGATTTCAGGCTGAAAAGCAAACAATATTATTTGATACACTGAAAAACATTCTCCCAGAGGAAAATTCTCTTTTGTGGACAATCACATTCCTATTTCTAACGTGAAATTCATTAACTGTTTTGCTCCTGGAACCTCTTACCCTTGCCCAGCCCTGCATAGCTCCAGGAGCTGGCAGTACAAATTAGTTCTCAAATATAAAGCAGGTGAAATGGTTTCATTGCTGCTGGCTAAGCATAACTCTCTATAATTATTGTAACTACCAAGCATTAGTCTCTTCCTTTCCTAAAAATAACACTCCCTCACCTAGACGCAGTGAGGAAATAACAGGCCAAAGGAGAACATTTTCTTACCAGAGAAATATTAGTTCCTTAACGAATGAAATTTCTACATGGCAACTTCAAAGGGCAGAGGAGGAAGCTTTTAAATATTTGAAATGTCCTTTATTTGGAAGGTGCTGAATGCCAGGAATATGCGCTTGTTTAAACACAACAGGCTCCGACTTGTCACAGCTCATCTGGAAAACACCCTTTCCTTGGCTCTGCCCGAGGATCCTCCTGCAGACAGGTGCCCTCCCCACCGCAGAGGCAGGCTCTCACCCAGTGAGGACCATGGGCGCAGTACTCACCATACTGTCAAACTCCATGGAGCCCACTATCTGAGACACCTCGTCAAATTCCTCAGGAGACATGGGCAGCAGGTTGTCTGTACTCTGGAGTCTAGAAGGGTGACTAAAATGAGGAGAAAGGAAAGGGAAATGTTAACACCTAAAGTGTAAAGGCTGTGGTGCAAACTTACACGCTCTAGCTTTTGCCTGTGACTCATTTATCACTTTACATTTTTATTTCAGGTAAGTGCACACACTTGTAAAATACACTGGAAAAAGTACAGATCATGGGAGGTTTGTGCCCCCAGCCCGGCCCCTTGGGAAAGTGCTGGACTCTAGAGACGTGAGTGAGCAACAGCCAGACTGAAACCTGCGCCGCTTCTGCCTGGTTAAGCCTAGGTGTGAGCGTGTGCCATGTTCACACTGCCGTGACCACGCCGCGCGGCTTACCCTGGACAGAAAAGCACCAGAGAAACGTCTGGGAGTCCCTCATCCCTACCTTGCGGTGTGTATGCAGATCAAGCTGCTCCACAGAGTGTTTTTACATGAAGGCTACATCCATTCACCCCAAGACAGTGCTGCAGGCCAAATAACTGACAATGCCTTTTCCAAAATTTTGTCTACCTTTTATAAAATGAAACAACAAAATAAAAGCAAGTGGAGAAAATGTACCTCAATCATTACTTTGGCCTTTTCTAGATTGAAAAGAACTCTTTTCCCACTCTGATCAATTTTTGTTCATTTTATTTATACTTTTTCAAAGTATCAGTTTGGGGAAAACTTTATATACTTTAAATACAACTTTGTGTTTTGGTTTTTAGCATTTTATTTTGAAAAAGGCAATAAAACGCTAATAGGCTGTGACACTGGGATCTCTAATTAGGATCTTTGTAACAAGTCCAACTGTGACGGCGACAGCAATTACAATGGAAAAGTAAAATACAAGCATCTTCCACAGGCCCCAGCCAGGAGCAATGCTGGCTTGAGGTTTTTAAACATGCCACTCTTCTGTGTTCACTTACACTTCAGACACAGAAATCAACTCAGTCTTGATGTATCCAGTTCCTTTAGGGCCATCAAGTTCCATTGGTTCTGGAGCTAGAAGCAAACATATCATGTACATTTTCCTATAGCAGAAATTACACAAAAACAGAACAAACAACTTTTTGGGGGGATCAAAATTCTACTGTTTTTCTTGACAGCTTTGAGTCCTATACCTTTAAAGGGGTTATGACCTCCCTGTCTGGGTCACCTGAAATTCTAGTAGAAATATAGAAGCAACTAGAAGAAATGGGGAGATTGCAGCAGGAGTCTAGCTGGGAGCTTTCTTTTTCCCAGGCTTGAATTCCTATAAGAAGTTAGAGTCCAAAATCTCTCTAGTTTAGTTGTACCAGCCTGGTTGACATACATAGCTGTAAAGTTAAGCTGAGGTCATCTTCATTCCTAAGTAATTGTCTTAATATTGAGATTTCTGATTTCAAAAAGTAATTAGCTTTGCTAGAATGTTCCAAGCCAGATGGGTCCAACTTGAACTTTCCCAAATGCAATTCAGCGACAACTAAGAACCTGTATTCAAAGATGAGGCCTCCTCTTAATAACAACCACTAATTACAGGAGGATCTAACAAGTTGCCCTGAATGAACCACTGCACTTCTCCTGGGCCTCAATTTCCTCAATTTTAACACAAGCAGGATGGCATAAATTGGTTTGCTATTTTTCCTACCCTTACTCCTTTTCATATAGAAATAGTAATAATGTAACAAATACACAAGACCAGAAATAGACTTTTCCAACACACCTAAAAGAGGAAATTATCTATTCATTTCTTACTAGCTGTATCAGGCCAAATAATGCTTATGTTTCAACTGTGCTGAGTTCATACCATCTATCAAAAGCCCACTTTTACCAATTGAAAAGAAAGTGGTGGGTTAATGACACAGCATGGGTGGAGTCTGTGCTGGCACCTTCCACCTCTAAGGCGGCAAGCATGAATTTGGGTTATTAAACCCTGTCTGAGTAACCATTGCTCTATCCTGGCGAGGACTGTGCTGTGCTATCAACTCATCAGGTGACGATGCTCCCCCTCCCTGCTCACCTTCCTTTGGCCTGGAGTAATACTTTCCAAAGGCATGATCTTTGTCAATATTTGGATACAGATACTTCAGGGGATTCTCTGGAATATTCTCAGCGGCCATGACTTTGTAATTGCGAATGATATCAGGGAAGGTAACAGCAGAAAGTTCTTTCTTCGTGTAGGGCTCAACCGCATGAAAGTAAGGTTCTAAAAAGGAGAAAAGCTCAAGTGAGTCCCAAGGAATATCCCGAAACAACAGAGGAGAGAGAAGCAAAACACCAGAGTTAGGAATTTGAGTGAATGTGGTAAGAACTAATCACAATCTAGGAGTTAAAACAAGTATAGTGAATTGCTTTCTTCACTTCTAAATCAATCATAATCTTGGGGGCTGGCCAGTTAGCTCAGTTGGTTAGAGTGCGGTGTTATAACACCAAGGGTCAAGGGTTCAGATTCCCATACTGGCCAGCTGCCAAAAAATAAATAAATAAATAAATAAAATAAATTATAATCTTGTCTTAAAAACAGGAAAACTAAAGGCAGTCATTACTTCCAATAATGTTGCATTTGTCATTATATGCTTAGATTTACAAATTTGGCTTAAAGAGGTTTATTAAACACCTTTAAAAGCCCACATCTTGGGGCCGGCCCGGTGGCGCACTGCTACAGTGCGCCGCTTGGGAAGCGCGGCGGCGCTCCCGCCGAGGGTTCGGATCCCACATACAGACCGGTTCCCGCTCACTGGCTGAGCGAGGGGCGGGCGCAGCACCGAGGGTTGCGATCCCGTTGCCGGTCCCGGTCCGGTACGGGCGCGACACTGAGGGTTGCAGTCCGTTGCCGGACACGAAAAAAGACAAAAGACAAAAAAAAAAAAAAGCCCACATCTTCAATGGTACGTGGCTACAGGCATTTAAATAGCTAATTATTAATTGGGTCATTTTGATAATCTATGGTTCAAGCCACAGATTAAGTTATTAAAAAGATAAGCTCACTTTCTGTTTTTCTTTTTATATTGAAAAATACAATTTATTATTAAAATTAACAATGACAACATAGAAAACTTTTGAAACCAAAAAAGGATCCTGTTTGCTACTTATGTAATCCACCAGTTTAATTCATTCCTGTTGTTATTCCCAGACTAATTCAGATCGTTCTTCCTAATTTATTGAGAATCTCACTTTGGGGTGTACACAGGCCAGGGGCTGCTGTTCAGGTACTCTGGGGACTCTGCTCTAGAACTTGACTATGCTGGTTTCCTAAACCTCTGTGGTTGGTGCTGTCCTGCTTAAACTTTCCTGGTTGCCAAGGGTTTTCTTCATCTTCCATGGGTTTGCTAGCTCTGTCTCCCAATTGGCTGAGGCTCCAACACCTACTGCCTATGCCAGGCTCTGATCCCGGCCCTCCTGCTTTTTCATCAGAAGAAAAAATAAACAGAACAAGAAAAGTATCCTACCCTTTTGCATCTACCCACCGAGAACATAAAAGTTGCTGGAACAAGTCAGTTTTTCCTCCAGTCCTTCAAACAAGGCAATCGCTAAGCAACAGTGAAAAGTATTCAGTTTGTCTTAATTTTTTCATCTGCGCTATTCAGCTTCATCCCCAGAAACCTGCTTTATGACGTCAAGGATTTTGGAGTCTTTTAGGCATAACCCATTTGATTGAATAGAAACCTCATATATAACAAAGATAAATATGCAGCTGCCCTGTTTGATGGCAGGGAGGAGGGCTGCAGCTCAACCCAATAACCCCTGCGCCCCATCCGACACTAGCAGTGCTGTGGGGAAGATCAACAAGGTGGTCTTCTCACAAGCCTGTCCACCGCTCTCCATTCTATGCTGCCATTATCTTAAGTGAGTCTGGAAACTTCTGCTTGTGGGAAAAGTGACTCCTTCCAAGAACCGGCTGCAGATTATATTGACTCATATTCTTGCTCTATAGATAACAAACCTAACGAGAAGGAAAACATTTGGCCTGTCTTTTTTTAAAAACCATCATTTCTACAATATGTTGCAGGCCGTGAATCAGAAACATTCACGGTGGTTCATTAAGTCCTATTTGGAGGGCTCAGTTGGGGCAAGGATTGGATCTGCAGTTTCATGCCCAAAGCTCATCATCCGTATGAGCTGATCTGCAGCGATGAAGAGGGATGTCATGCTTGGGCACACGTGTCCGGGCGCCCTTCACTCACCGCCTCCATTCTGGGACCGTTCCACCCATGTGAACGTGATGGCCCCTTCCCGGCAGCTCTCACTGAAGCGCAGCAGGAACGTCCCCGGCTGCTGGTCCTTCAGCAGGGCGCGCTCTCGCTCCTTGCTGATAAAGCCCACGATACACCTGGACATCAAAGAGATTGACGGCTTTGTACTTCGATCACGATTTTAATGTTCATGTTGACTTACAAACGAAGAAAATTACTAGAACTTGACAAAAGAGCATATGATAAAAATGTACAGACTATTTTAAAATCTATTTAATTGACACATAAAGAAACATTTCACTTATAGATGTACATGCTAAAGTGAAAAAAAAAAAAGCCAACATGACTATGGTGCCAGCAGAATACTACAGATGCTCAATTAATACGTGCTAGATTAATGAGCCTTTTATTGCCACTTAATTATTTTATTTTATTTTATATATTATTATTATTATTATTTTTGTATTTTTCGTGACCAGTAAGGGCATCACAACCCTTGGTATGGTGTCGTCCGCACCGCGCTCAGCCAGTGAGCGCACTGGCCATTTCTATATAGGATCCGAACCCGCGGCGGGAGCGTCGCTGCGCTCCCAGTGCCGCACTCTCCCGAGTGCGCCACGGGGTAGGCCCCGTCACTTAGTTATTTTAAAGGCCATGAAACTGCCTGAATGTAACTGCATCTTTTAAACTGGAGAGAAAGACTAAGACAATATATTTTCATATTCTAGCACTTCTGATCAAGTTAAAGCTTTTGTTGAAATAGCTGATCCTAGGAATAAGTTAGAAAAAAATTTACTGATTAAACTTCCTTCTAGGGACAATAGAGTAGGTGCACAAGAAATTTCTGTTGAATGAATGAATGCATGAATAGAACTCAGAGGTTTTTGTTTTATTTAGCTTTGCAAATACTTATACATATACTAAGAAAGCATAAGTTTAATCTTATGAGATTACACTCTCATGAAACCTTGAAGGGGACCAGCCTACAAGCATGTGCCTCTGTGAGATGCATAATAAATGAAGCCAGCTCAGGCCTTGCCCCAGCCTTCCAGTAAGGGAGAGTGTGCTAAAAACATGTTTCAAAAATACATCCACCAATGGCCCTTACCCATCATTCCAGAGAGAGAGCAGGTGTTTCTTAATGAGTTCTAGGATACTTTCAATCCAAAGCCAGAAGGGAAAATTTTTATCATTTATATTTTCCTGAAAGGATACAAATGCACACATTAGGAACAAAGAAATCCAAAACGGTGAGATACCATGCCCCCTCCCGCCACTGGACTTCAATTTGCAAACACTCCCTAGCTGCCAAAGCTAGAACTGTCCCTTGCAGAGCAGCAGCAGCCCTCCCTGCATATCAGCATTCAGATCCGCAGCCCTCCATTTCCCTAGGCCGGGCTCTGCTTCCTTTTCCAAACAATATGCAAACTAGCCAGGGGATGACCTCCCTCCGCTGTGAATCATGGAAACAAAAGCTGCCCTCACGCTAGTGAAATCCAGTACAGCGAGCTGCTCAGCACTGTCCAGGGACCCCAGCAGGATCTAATGGTTCCCTCCAACTGGTCCCTCTGCTTGAGTAGCTTCTGTGGAATTCACCAGGCTGTCCATGCCTGGCCCAGAGCACACATTTCACACGGACGTGGCTAAAACGCTGCCAGCCAAGGGCCAGTGTGAGCAAACAGAAGACTCATTTTGGATATGAAAGAACGTTATCACTCAGGCAGGTGCTTCCTGTCAGACTTGCCTGGAGACTGACCTCCTGCGCTGAGGAAAGCAAACAACTTGCCGTGGGGCTCCAGGAGCAAGAGATGAACATGCCAAAGTAAGCAGACAGTTAAGTAACCACCTCAGCGAGGAATACGAGAACCCCGGCAGACAGCGAGAAGAACTCAGAATAGAAAACACACAAAGAACCCACCTTACAAAACCTTGTCCAGGGAATAAGACCGTCGGGGCCAGCATTAGGACCTAAACAAATAAAAATAAGCTTTTTCAGCAAACACAAATCGCTTCTCAAGCTTTGGTGGGACTGATGGCTCTTGTATGTGCTCTCAAAGAAAAGAGCTAACACCCACCAAAGGAAGATTGTAGGTACATGGCTGATATTCTCACATACATGAACACTGAATTGACTGAGCAGTGATCATATGTGCTTGAAAAAACATAATTAAAATAGTCTGAAACATGTGTACGATGGTTTGATTTTAAAGGCATGCAGGAACAGATGGCAGGAGACGGGCACCATGATGTGAGAGTTTTTAGGGAAAGTGGAAACATCACGAAACCCCACTGTCTGCCCCTCCCTCTCCACCCCCCTTGTCTCTCCCTGTCTTCTAAAGAGGGGACAATCCCCTAACTCCCTCTTTACACTCCCTTCCAAGACCACCAATTGACCCTGCCTTGGCACTAAACCAAAGCCTTTCTGCTGGCCTTTCCAGAGAAGCCCCCCTTAGGTCCCTCCCTGTCCAATATCGTTTCCCACCACCTCCTCTTCTGCTTCAGTAGAATCCCTTCTCCTAAAGACCCTAAAGAATGTTTTCAAAGTTCCAGCTAAGACCAGGATCACCCCTAGGTGACCAATTTAACTGATACTTGACTTTTACCAGCTTATTTTAGACATTCGTTATGCATCTCCCTTACTCCTCCAGATAGGCTTAGGGAGGCTGAGGCTAAGCCAAAAACTGAGCAAGAGAACCAAGAGGAAGCCTGCGGGTCACAGCTGCACACGTTGAAGCAGCTCCAGCTGGAAGAGGTAGGGAGCCCATCACCTCTCTGAAGACAACCACAAGTCACTACAGGCAGAAAAGATATCTTTCTTAACCCTTTTCAAATAAGGAAATGGAATAAGGTGATTTTATACTTTGTATTAAATAGCACAAGACCCCCACTGTGACAGCTGCTTGGCCAAGACAAGGCACTGGCCTACTGGTGTTTGCAATATATGCAGTTCTGCTGTACAGAAAGCAAATCTGGATGAAAGTCATCCGTGGATGTTTGAAGAAATAGTTCACATACTCCCATTCATTAAAAGATCTGACCTTGAGACTAGTGGAGCTTGATCTGTTTACTGTGGAAGACCAATAAACTCACTGACATCAGCCACTAAAAGGGATTCCCCCCCCCCCCCCCCCCCCCCCCCCCCCCCCCCCCCCCCCCCCCCCCCCCCCCCCCCC